TCTTAAAAAAATAAAATATACAATTTTTAAAAAATATGTCTTTAAAATCAAAACAAAGATAATAGTCTGATTATTCTGTGTGTAGTCTATACTTTAAATGTACATGGAAAAAGAAAAATTTCTACTAAATGGGGCAAACAAGTTTTAAGATATACTGTAAAATACATCTTTTAAATTTACAGAAAAAAAAACTGTCAGCTAAGGTTGCAGAATAAAACCGTTTATTTCTAGAAAAAAATGTTATTTGAAATTGGACCCCTGTTTAATAGATAAGCACTGTTATTTTTACGAATAAACTTTGTTATTTTAGCAAATAATCTATTTTATTTTAACAATTTTTTTAAGAATTTTAACGACAAAAAAGCCTTTATAAAATAACTATGTCAGTATTGTCGTCTGTATGTTGCCAAGATTCAAACACGGATTCACCTCATTGGTATAATTGTGCCAAGTAATATTAAGTGGCTAAAACCTTGGAGCACTTTCCTGACCTAACTGTAGAGACCATATTTCCCAGATTGAGGCTACCCCCTATATTTTGAGGGTCAGAAATCCAAATCCGTAAAAGAAATATAATTTATTCAGTGACAGTACGTTTTTGTGTCTTATTTCGAGTCTTAAAATATCGTCTAAACTTATTAATTTGCTTATTTGAGGTCCCCTGCTAGCCATTAAGATTGAGTTTCAGCGTGAATATCCGATCATTTAATCAAAAGTTATTCAAGGTGGTACGTTTTCTTTTGGCGCACTGTGCATCTAAAGAAAAGAATCGTATTTTTTTTGTCATCCAGCATATATTTAAGGTACTTTTTACAAACAAAAATACGGTCATTCGCAGGACACTTAAGTGAAATGTCCTGGTATCAGTTCCAATCATAAGTATAAATACATAACAGGCGTGTCACCGTGATCCCCTGGAGATTGAGGCGAGTGCTCTTTGTAATATCCCTATGCACTAAGAAGTGATTTATCCAGGACATTTATTGGACTTTATGGCACTTACTGCATTAAAGATTCAATGAGAAAAGAACGTATAAGATGGTTAATTAGGATTTATAAGGGAGATCTTCCCGTCTGAGGGGAACGTTTACGCCGAGTAATCACTCACTGCTTGCTACGTTCTTAATCCAGCAGCAACCCTTTTATTTACAGCACTTCCTCAAAAGGGGTAAATTGCTGGGCAATTAGATAGTATTACATTTGATGTGACACACTTTTTTATAACAAAAACTTCAAGTCTTTTTTAAATATTCATATTTTATAAATTATGGTGATCTGTATGGTAGCCCTAAAGGAATTCACCTCTTGTTTGCGTCGCTTATCAACCCCCACAATTTCTTCATAAAATTATTCTTGTTTCGTGTCGACAGGGGCGTCAAAGGCGCTATTGAAAGGATGTTAAATGTGCTGTTTGAAAAATTATTCCAATATCTGTTGTTGTTTTTTTAAATTTTTATTTCTTATTTATTTTATTTTTTCTAATTTTACAATTACAGTTTTCAACATAAATTTGCTAAACTATTCTTTTAAATTAAATGCTTGGACACAATTATAATTATACAAGAAAACCTTCCTAGCGACAGTTAGAAAAGTTAATTTTTAATATAGCCTTACAATTTTAAATTAATTTACAATTTGAATCTTATTACTTTAATTTAATGCAAGCAAAATTGCATTAAAATTATTATGAAAGTAAATAAATTTTTTATCATTTAATAAAGGCATAACTTAAGATAAATATCTTCATAGTAAAATTTTGTACAATAAAGTAATATCACGTTATTACTGTATAGTGTGAGGTTAACACTTTTAATTTTAAGTGTTTAAGTTTGAGTTATAAAAAAAAATCATAAATGTAACAATTACGGGGAATAACGGGAATAACAGAGAAGGGGTTATAAACAAATATTACTGAATAACACTCGCGAATAAATATTACATATAAGCAAAAGATAAAGAAATGTATAAACACCGATAAAATTTTTTATTAATTTTATGTTGATGAGAGAGAATATCTAAATAATCTTTTTTTCTTATTTAATGATCTTGTCATCTGATTCTTTGCCCTTTGAGAATGCACGAAACAGAAAAACCATTTTTTTTAAAATCTAAAGATATATGTCATATTATTTCAGTTTTTCTGATAATATGAGAGACATCTTTGAAATATGTATCTAAGTAATTTCAAAATTCATATTTATTCGTAGCAGAACATTCTTAAAAATGCCCAAAACAAGAATTATTTATTTATTGTAATAATATTACTACATTCTTTTAAACTCGATTTTGTATGTGCAACGATTTAATCTGGAAATCGAAGGCTCCACTGCTTTCCGATTGGTTACAAAGCTCAAATTTTAAATATAACTCCAATTACGACAGCAATGCAAGTTTCAAACATTTTTTAACTGACACAAGCAGAATTTATCGTCATTTTGAAGTCGATCAAATTTTCGACCTCTTTGTGATTATCTAAACCTCATACATTTTATCTTGAATAGTCATTGAAATAGTCATTCAATAAACTTGAAATAATCATTCTTCGTTACCATAGTCTCCGCCACAGGTCCAGAGGAATGTCTGAAGGAGTTTTTATTTTAGGTTTGCGGTAAAGAGGCATTGTTAAGAAAAACTTTTCTTTCTTCCTCCATGAATGGATCTTCTAATTTCATCTTAGAGAATCATGAAATTTAACTACCATTATACTTTCTGAAAGAGATTCAAGTCCAGCACGTGTTTTATTCAAGAAGTAAATTATTTTATTTCGCATCTACTCTTTAACATGTAACATATTTTTTATGTTTAAAATATAACTTTGATTGATTTTAGCGAAAGCTAATTTTGCTACCATGATCTTCGATCATGGTAGCAAAATGCTTCGATTTAAAAAAATAATGATTTGAACTAAATTAATTATATTGAATTTTAAATTGTTGTATTGCATTTATTATTATTATAAATTATATTATTTAGCTCTTATACATCAAAACTACTGAATATATTACCTGTACTTCTCAAAAGATAAAATATTTTATGTTAACTAGCAGTACGGCCTGGTCAGGGTCAGTAATATGACCACACTATTATACCATACCTAGCAATCACCAACTAGGATTCAACATAATGTTTTATTTTTACCTAAAAGCTGTTATTGTTATATTATTGTCTTATATAAATGATCGCTGATGGAAATTTCGACCAGCCAAAGTGATCAAAATATTTCTGAAGTTCTATGTCTGATTACAATGCTGTTTAAATGGTTTCTTAACTGCTACCATCAGAATTTATAACCAATAGGAATTAAGGAATCCTACTACCTTAAAAACGAGTATTTCAACAAAAAAAAATCACGTTTTTGTTTTATTGTCTTACAATAATATCCATTTCTTCTAGTTTTCAAAACTGTTTTGTTTTTAAATGTGCATCAAATATAACTTTAGTTTACAGCAATTTTAGTAATAGATGATAGTTGTCAAACTTACTGAAAGTCACAAATGAAGTTTCGATTCTATTTCTATTTTTGTGAATATTTCTCTGCAATATTTAATTTTATAAAGATCCTAAACTCTCATCTAATAATCTAAATTATATTTTACTAAGATTTTGCAGTTTTTTGTCACTGTTTGTTGGCACCGCAGGGAAAGGTTTAAATGTTCGCAGTTCTATTATCTTTAATTCATCATTTAATAAAAAATATTTTTTTTCTAATTATTTACAAAATTTATATTTAGTTTCATTTTTACGTATATTAAATCATAAAAATATGTTAAGATTGTCGTTTATCAAAAATTGTTTCAGTGTTGAATGCTAAATAAGTTATATATTCTTGACGGTATTTACAAACTACTTCAAAATTTTTCTATGGAAAACTTCAAGCATTGATTGATATTTACTAATTAGACCGAAATCTTAATGAAAAGTTCTGTGAATGATAAATTACAAATGTCACTCCTTTTCTAATCCGTACAAGCGAATTTTATTTCTATTTTACTGTCAAAAAAATTTATAATCATTCTTTCTTTCTGCTCACATCTCATTTGGAACTTGTGACTGGCAACAGTTAAGGGAAAAAATATATTTTCTTACATGTTACAAAAAGATTTATTTCCGTTTCATTACCGATTGAAACTTTGATCTCTTTTCGACATGAAACGAACTAAAAAGAAGAAAACAATAAATGAAACAAATTGAAAATTTTAAAATCTCTGTTTCGAAAGTTGGCTGTAAAGGACATAATAATTGCTTTTTTGTCACACCTCGAAAGAAAAAAAAAACTCCAGTATTATATCTTTGTAATTAATTTTTCTTTGAATGAATTGATAATATACTTCCCTAACAATGTTTTAAAAGTAATACGTACTATATTGTTTGCTTCGAATTTTAAAAAATTAGAATTTTAATTCCTCTAAAAACACTAATTTTATAAATTTTATTTCATTTCATTACTTATTTTTGCACATTGGAGGTTAAGTGTACTTTGGTTATGGGTTGTGGTATTATATATTCTAAATTAATTATATAAACTGTAATTCCTAAAATACTTCAAGATACGTAATGATTTAGAACCTTTCTATTTCTAAATTATATCCAAATCTAGTCTAATAATCCAAATCTAATATCCAAAATATTTTAACCCTAGAGATTCTGATTTGAAGTTTATAACCATTTTTGTTACTTTACAGCAAAATATTCCAGTTTTACCAAATGCTAATCAATAAGACAAAAATGGTTACAAACCGCATCTAATGCTTTACATTTGAGGATGTTTATTAAACCATAATAACATAATATTTTATCCTATTTTGAAGGGAAGTTGTATGTTTGGAATAGAGTATTCAGTATGACGATATAAATAATTTAGTTTCAGTAGTCAATAGATAATTTTATTAATTAAATTTAGTAGTCAGTAGATAATTTTTTCTGGTTCGATCAAGATAAGATATTGAGGTAATACTGTAATGCTTATGGTATTGAAATAGAAGATAGCGATTTATGCTTACCTGTTTTGTTACTGTAATCCTTGAGTGCAGCAGGATGGTGATGTTTAATGGCATTCATTCTTCTGTGATGGAGTCCACCCCCGGCAGCGCCTCCGGGCCTCAGGGGCCTCACCCTCACTTGCTCTACGGGCAGGACTCTTCTTCTCTGCTTGGGCAGTTTTTCACGAGCCTGAGTGTGCGAATAGAACATCGTGAAATTAGACACTATTACTGGTACAGGGAGGGCGATGGTAAGCACGCCGGCAAGGGCACACAATGCACCCACCAACATGCCCACGTATGTCCTAGGCACCATATCCCCGTATCCCACTGTGGTCATGGTGACGATGGCCCACCATAGTCCCTCTGGTATGCTGGTGAAATCGTTGTTAGGATTGGCCTGAAGCCTTTCGGCGTAGTAGACGAGAGAGGCAAAGATGACAATACCCAGAACGAGGAAGAAGACGAGCAGGAAGAGTTCTTTGGCACTCGCCTGGAAAGTGTGGATGAGGATCTTGAGTCCGCGAGAGTGCCGAGTCAGTTTGAAAAGCCTAGAAGATTGAGGAGTTATTAAAAATACTGGGATAACTTTTTTTTGGACATGATACATTGTTCAACATGCAGATTTTTGCCTAGCCACTTTATGCTGAGTAATTACACACACTGACAACTTACATACAAAGGAAAAGCGCTGTCATTGATAGTTTGAGGCAAACATTTTGGCGATCTTAGTGATGTTTTTGGAGACAAGAGCCTTATCTTCCTTCTCGAAGTTTTGAGGTTGCTTATACGTTAGGAAGCAAGCTATCCGAGAATTCACTGGAAGCTGGACAAATTTGTTCATACAAAAACAGTATGTGATGGACCATTTTGAATTTGATGTATGAATCCAGCACTTTTGGCTTATACAGATTCACTTATTTACATCGAAATGTTCTACTCAGTGCTTATACTTGTTCTCCAATGTTATTCTTGAGTTTTTATCAGTACTGGTTAATCCTTCACTCATACCAAATTTTCATAAAAGAGCTATGATGCAAAATAAAGTTTAAGGAACTTTTCTGATAAATTTTAATAATTATGAAAATAATTAAGAATATTTATTGCTTTTAATCCTTGAAGATCGTATGGGACAATATAATGGCTATCTGCTTTTTTTTCTTCCGAAGAATGAAATGTTTCGCCAAAATATATTCAAAAATTCGCAAAAACGGGTACTTCTCGGATTTAACAGGCATTCACACGAAACACCTAAGTAACTTACTATCTTCATGAAAATAGCTGTATTGTTTTCTCTAAAAACTATCTCTTGAAAACACTTTTATCACTGATTTTATTTTCGAAAGCTCTCCATTGTTGTTTGCAAAGAAATATCTATAGCTATACATTAAAAATTCTTTATTTAATGTTTCAGATAGAAAATATAAAGAATTACTTGCATTTACAGGGGTGGGAAAACATACGAAGACTACAGTTTATTCATGGGATTGTGTGACAAAAAAAAATAGTGAATAACCCGTAAAATCTTTAATAGTAAGGTAAAAACAAGAAAAATAATTTCATATCGTATTCATAGATGTTTTTATAATTTGAATATACAACAGAAATCTTTGTCCTATCTCTAAATGACTAAGACATGATCGAGGATAATCCATTCGGGGACAATCGGGATTTTATTGCATTCCGATAAGAATGGGATTGAAACAATTAATCGATGATGAGTACAGGGGCGTACGCAAGGGGGGGGGTTTAGGGGTTTAACCCCCCCCCTGAGCTCAGACAAAGTGAATTTACAAAATAATACAGACAAAAATAAAAATTTTAGTAGAAATTATGCGGGTTATTATTTTTTAAGACTATATATTTTTATTTACCTTATGCCTACTTTTTTTTTCTCACGGTATTTCTCACAATACTGATAAAACATTTACTATAATAGGGTTGTATTTTTGAAACCAAATTCACGTGATACTGTTACGGGCGAGCCCCGATCTCTGGTTCCTTTCTGACCAGCCAGTCGCGATAGTTTTCGAGACTGGCTGGCATTCGCGAGGTCTGGAATCCTAGACGTTCTGTCGTCTTTGAGACAATTCGAGAATTTTGTAGATGCGGTTAAAAAAAATTATATGAAAGGGGGTTACATTTATTTTCGATTTTAGTCAGACTAAGAGTTATCTCTGCCGCTTGTCCTTCGGACCTTGTTTCTAAATCTGTTTTGTTTTGGAGACTCTGTGCTCGTTGAAGTTATTCATTCCAGCTCGAAACTGAGATCGTAGCTTAGTGGATATTTCTGTGCCAATATATATGTATATATTTTTGCTGTTCTTGGATCTTTAGGATGTCTGAAAGCAAGAATTTAACAATTTTTAATTACTTTGAGAAAAAATCACGACCTGAAATTAGTGAGGTGACAGCATCTAGTACCAATGTAAGTTTTTCTGTTGAACAGAAATGTGATACTTCCGTTGAAGAAAACGTTTCTAGCTTCAATTATTTTTTTCTTTCTATAAAATTTATTTCGTCTATAACGAAAAAATCGACGCACCAAGAAGGAGTTGTCCGATTGAAACGAAAATTGGTGGATAGGANTTTTTTTATTGAAATGTTAATTAAGGTGTCCTCTTACATATTCGGTTAATAATTTTTATTTGTTTAAACAAAATTACTTTGTTACAATATAATATTCTAATACCAAAAAAAGTACTTACGTTGCGTGAAAATATCTTTTGCGATGTAACTCTTTCAAAAGTACATAAAAATGGTTGCCAGCAGGGGTGTACATGTAGATTTATTAAATACACCTTGTGTACCACCTAGGAACCAAATCTAGAACCCGACACTCGAAATTTTTGCTCTGTTACAATCGTACCCTGTTACAATTGACCCCACTCTCCCCCACTTTTTTTTGAACATGATACATTGTTCAATATGTTGAGTTTAGCCCAGCCACTTTATGCTTAGTAATTACACACACTAACGACTTACATTCAAAGGAAAGGCGCTGTCATTGATAGTTTGACCAACTTGACAAACATTTTGTCAATTTTAGTGATATTTTTAGAGACAAGAGCCTTATCTTCCTTCTCGAAGTTTTGAAGCTGCAGATACATTAGCAAGATATCCGAGAATCCACTGGAAAATGGACAATTTTGTTCATACAGCTACAGTATGTGATGAACCATTTTGGTTTTGATGTATGAATCAAGCACTTTTGGCTTATTCAGAATCACTTATTTACATCGAAATGTTCTACTCAGTGCTTATATTTGTTTTACAGTGTTATTCTTGAGATTTTATCAGTGCTGGTTAATTCTTCACTCGTACAAAATTTTTCATATAAGAGCTCTGATGCAAAATAAAGTTTAAGGAACTTTTCTGATAAATTTTAATAATTATGAAAACAATTAAGAATATTTACTGCTTTTAATCCTTGACGATCGTATGGGACAATATAATGACTATCTGTTTCTTTCTCTCCGAAGAATGAAATATTTCACAAAAATATATTCGAAAATTCGCAAAAACGGGTACTTCTCGGATTTAACAGGCATTCACATGAAATACTTAAATAACTTACTATCTTCATGAAAATAGATGTATTGTTTTCTCCAAAAACACTCTCTTGAACGTTTTATCACTCATTTTATTTTTCCAAGCTCTCCATTGTTGCTTGTAAAGAAATATCCATAGCTAAATTCTATATTTAATGTTTCAGATAGAAAATGGGCAGAATTACTTGCAGGTGTGGGGAAACATAAGAATACTACAGTTTATTCATGGGATTGTGTGACAAAAAAAAAACTGTGGATAACCCGTAAAATCTCTAAAAGGTAAAAACAAGAAAAATAATTTTAGATTGTATTCATAGATGTTTTTATGAATTGAATATACTGCAGAAATCTTTGTCCTATCTCTAAATGACTAATACATGATCGTGCATAATCAATTCCGGGACAATCGGGATTTTACTGCATTCCGATAAGAATGGGATTGAAACAATTAATCGATAATGCGTGTTTCATGTAATTGAAGAATATTACGAAAGACTGCTACACCTGTTATCGTCTAATGTGTCATGTTTTGTTCAAATGATATTGATAGTCAAAAATTGAGATTATTGTTTGCAAAAATAATTGTTCCATTTTAGAATAATCATATTTTATGAAATCCTTTACTTTAAAATAAATCCCTATTTATTAAAATTTCGAAAAGAATCGCTATTTTAAAAAACAAAATGTGACAGGACTTTTAAACTGAGGATACAAAAATGATGCTTTTTAAAAAATACTTACGACGATAATTAATTATTTTCTCCGGAAACACCTTTATTTTAAAATTCAATTCATTAGTTTCTCAGAAAAACTGCTTTACAGGTGACAAAAATGGACTTCAATCGTATATACATATTATTACCTGATTTTGAATAAATTAAAAAAAAACTAATTTGTATACACCATAACAAGATTAAAAAAAAATTCTAAAAAAAACTTGAAAGTAGAATGTTTAGCTTTTCAGAAATAGCATCTATTTTTAAATTGGGTTAGAAAACCCTTTAATTGAAAGCTTTCTTTCAGCTCTTTTTTATTTTAAAATTTTTTTTTTGTATAGTACTTATTTTAAGTTAATTTTTTAACCCAGAAATTGTGAGATTTTCTTTTATGATACAAAAACAACCTGTAGAATTAATGTACTATTAAATTAGTATTTCGAACAAATATAATTTTCTCCTAAGCGTAAAAGGTGTTTTTAAGTTAAATTTTTATGAACGAAATTAACTTAATGAATGAGTATTGAGGAGTATGCGTGATTTTTAAGGATAGAAAAAAAGTGATGAATATGTGCATAACAATGCATTGTAGAGTTCTAGTGAATGCTCGTGATTTCTATAGGCTTCTGATTTAATTTATTAATATTCATTATTCATTTTAATGAGTATTATTCAAAATAAAGATAAAGTCAAGTTAGGAAAATAACCTGAGCAACAAAAAACTGTTTAGAAAATTTAAAAAAAAAACGAACATATTCATTTTAAGAAATTACATTATATTTTTTAACAGTTTAATTTAATGGTAATGCCCTTTAGGCAAGTAGATTTATTGCGATCTTTTTATGTTTATTAAGTGCGCTTTATTTCGTAGTGCAGTAACGTAAAGCTTCTTAAGCGGTGTGTTTTACGAGCAATTACTTAAAAATGCTGGGAGTTTATTACTATTTGTAGCGGTATTTTAAGCACCATATCATAACTTTTATGGTTTATCTTTGATATTTCACGTATTAATTACCAACTGTTGTTGATGAGAAAAATATTGTTGGGGAAGTTTCCGTTATATCAGAAATTGAATAGTTCAAAATGTTATTTGTGATAAGTTTAAAGTTTATAATGTTTTTCAACTATTGGTACTTTTTACCACGGCATGCTAATTTTCATTAAAATGGTAACGAAGTTGTAATATGCTACCTACTTAAACAAAGAAAACAATTCCTTAAAACCAGCTATAAATTGTTTTTTTGTCAAATAATTTAATATCAGTTATCTCCTGAAATTTTTTAT